GAGATTGAACAGAGCAGAGATGGGGGAAGAGAGATGCCAGGCCACATGAAGATCACCCAGGAGCAAAAGCTCAAAGAGACAAGGACCTTCCTCCTGAGCCGACAGAGAGAGAAAGCCTTCTCTTAGGGCTGGCACCCTGAATTTGGACTTGTAGCCTCCTAAACTGTGAGAAAAGGAATTTCAGTTTGTTAAAGCCACCCATTTATGGTATTTCTGTTATAGCAGCAGTAAACAACCAAGACAGCCAGTTAATAAAAAGTTGCAGTATATGAAAAGATGTTTAACCTAACTCATAATAAGCAGATTCAAGTTAAAGCTACAGTAAGGAACCATTGTTCGCTCATCAGTGAGTTCAGTAAAACCCTATGGAGTAAGGTGTGCAGAGATTGCCAGATTGTTCACTGATGGTGCAGACAGCAATGGATACGTGCTCTTTGGAGAAAAGTTCAGCAATATTTACAAATTTTTAAATGACCAGAACCTTTGAACCAGCTAGTCTATGCACAGAATCATATATATATACACATATATGTATACACACATTTAAATTATATATAAATTTATGTATGGTTTTAAACCAAAAATCGATTGCATACAGCTAGATGGTGCCCGGCTACCGCCACTGACTGCTCTGACCAGGACCACAACAGAGGGTTCTGGGCAGAGCTGGAGAAGGATGTAGAACAAAATTCTAACTCACAAAAAAAAGACCAGATTTACTGGCCTACAGGAGACTGGCCCCCAGACACCCTTTTAGCTCAGTGGTGAAGTCACTTCCGAGGTTCACCGTTCAGCCGGGGAGTGGACAGCCCCATAAAACCAAATGGGACTGATGAGGTACAGCAGTCCAGGGACAAGGGCCAGAGGGCAGAAGGGGACAAGGAAGCTGGTGATAGGGAACCCAAGGTTGAGTAAGGATAGTGTTGATGGGTTGTGAGGTTGTTAACCATTGTCATAAGGCAACATGTGTACTAACTGTTAAATAAGAAACTATTTTGTTCTGTAAGCCTTCATCTAAAGTGAGAATAGCAGCACAACTGGAAGAGCATAGTCGATGTCACTGAACTGCGCTTGTAGAAATTTTTGAAATGGTGTATCTTTGGCTACGTATATTTTCACCAAAAAAAAAAGGTCGAGAAGGGAGAGGGTTAACATGTTGTGGGGTTGTTAACCAATGTCATAAAACAATATGTCTACTACTGTTTCATGAGAAACTATTTGTTCTGTAAGCCCTCACCTGGAGTACAATAAAAAAAAGAGAGAAAAATTGATTGCAGTGGTTCTCCTCAGAGGCTATTTTGCTCTCCAAATACCGTGCAAACCATTTCCATCCAGTCGATTCAGATGCATGGCGACCCTATGTCTATCAGAGAAGAACTGTGCTACACAGGGTTTTCGACGGCTGATTTTCCAGAAGTATATTGCCAGGCATTTCTTCCGAGGTACCTCTGGGTAGATGCCAACCGCGAACCTTTCAGTTAGTAGCTGAGTGCTTAACCATTTTTGCCACCCGAGGACTCTCACTTGCCCTCCAGAGGACACAAAATAAGCTGGAAGCATTTTCCTTTTCACCACCTGGGGGCGGTACTACTGGTATCGAGTGGGTAGAGGCCAGAGACACTGCTCAATACCTTGTAATGCCTGGACAGCACAGCAAACCTTTATTGGGCCCCAAATGCACAGTGGCAGTGCCCAGAATGAGACACCCTAGCTTAAAGGATGCTACATCCCTGTGACGACATGCTAGGTCTTCAATAAATGTTTTCCAATGAATGGATGGATGGGTAATGACAAAGCATGAGGCGGCGGGGGTGGGCAGCTCCGCCATCTCCGTAACAAGAGGGCGCCGCGGGTCGGGACAGAAGAGGCCGGTGCAGGACCGAGTAAGGGCTGCAGACGCAGGAAATACAAACACACGAAGCCCGGTGAATGTGGATTTCAGATGAACGAGGCATAATATTTTAGTAGCAGTGTGTCCCATGTAATATTTGGCACACACTGATACTAAACACTTATTCATTATCTGAAATCTAAGGTCAGCCTGGGGTCGGAGGCTGCAGGGAGATGCTCAGGAGGAGGTGTGCTGAGCACCGCCCGCCCAGCCCCCGCCCCCTCGCCCTGCCCAGCCTGTACCTTCTTCAGGGCTCAGCACGGGAACCGGCGCTGGGGGACAGCGCCCTCGCGCGGCCGTCCGGGGAACTGCGCGGAGCCCGGGCCCTTGTGGAAAGGGCGGGTGGAGGGTAACTCTCGAGCTCGGTTCCCCCACCCCACGGCCGAGGGGCTCCCTCCAGAGGACCAGATCCTCTGCACCTTGACCCCAGTGGTCTCCTGTCCCCGCTGCCTCCGAGAGCCGGGCTGGGCCAGGTGCACGTGTGACAGGACGAAATCCCCTGTGCGTGCGCACGCGCGTGCACTCACATACACTCACGTTCCTGCCACACTCACACCCTCACGCCCTAAGACTCTCATGCGCACACTCACACACTAAAACACACACTCACACACTCACACTCACACGCACACGCACACACACCCTCGTACTTACACCCTCACACTCTGACACACACGGCAGAGGGCCCTGGCCCACTGTGGCTCTGGGGGTCCAAAGGCCTGGGCCTGGGCCGTCACGCCCACCTCAGTCACAGCCCGCAGTGGTCACCAACCTCCTGGCTCAGGGACAAGGCATGGCTTCTCCTGCTCCCGGGGTTTCCTCATCAGCCCAGGCCCAGCCTGTCTGCTCTGTGGTGATATAAGCCTGACCCCGTTTTCTAGACTCCTTGTCTGAACTCTCAAGACAAAGCAGGCAGGACAGACTAGGGGCCCAAAAGCAAAGCCAAGGAGAGCTGCCAGGCTGGGTGGGGAGGCCACCCTCCACACCAGGCAGGGGTGCAGGTCCCAGGGAAGGCGGGGGTAGGTGGTGGGCACCGGGCCACGCAGGAAGCCTCCCTTCCCCAGGGGTCACCAGGGAGGGGGCTGTCTACTGGCTGATCGTTGAATATGGAGGAATTGGTGAGCTGGTTGTTAAAACTTTGGTGTTGTTAGCCCTTGACTCGTGGTGACCTCAGCGGAACAAAATGCTGCCTGGTCCTGCGCCATCCCCATGATCGGCTGTAGATTGGACCATTGTGATCCATAGGGTTTTCACTGGCCAATTTTTGAAAGTAGATCCCCAAGGCCTTTCTTCCTAGTGCATCTTAGTCTGGAAGCTCTGCTGAAACCTGTTCAGCATCATAGCAACATACAAGCCTCCACTGACAGACAGGCGGTGGCTGTGCGTGAGGTGCACTGGCCGGGAATCGAACCCGGTCACCCGCGTGGAAGGCAAGAATTCTACCACTGAGTCACCAAGGCCTCAAACGTTCCTCAGGCTGCTGCCTCCTTGAGATCCCATGATGTGTCTCTCGGGGGAGGCTGCCTGGCCGTTCCCAAGGATCTGGTGGGGCAACTGGAGAGAGGAATAAACTTTCGGGGGGAACAAATGGCACCCCACAACTCCCACACTTGATTCTCCCGCATGCTAAGAAGCAGGCTGGGCCTGAGCTGAATCATCTTTGCAAAATGAAATACCATGGAGTAAGAAAGTAACTTTGTACCTCATTCTTAATATTGCAGGCTACTGTATAACTAGGAAACATAAGTTTTAATATTTAATGCGCTCGAATTCGGAAAATCTCCTATATAATATCTAGGAGACACTTGCTTGGCAGGAAGAAATATTTTATAACAGCTGTGCCTGCATTTCTTTATGAATAAACGAAGCCGCTTTTGAGAACCATCTTTGAAAGGGAATAGATGGCTCATTTTAAAGGGATTTGAGCTTTCTATATTCAAGATTGCGTACAACGCTAGCCCCTGAGAAACATACCCCCAAGGCAGAACTTAGTATATACAGCCTTTGTGTGTGTGTGTGTGTGTGTGTGTGTGTGTGTGTGTGTGTGTGTGTGTGAGATAGCTAGCTTCTGTACCGTGGTGACCTTAGGCACAACGGGACAAAGGGCTGCCTGGTCCTGTGTCACCCTCACACACATCCTTGCAGTGGTCATGCCAACCATCTCACCACGGGTCTTTCCCTCCCTCTCTCGCCCTCTACTTCACCATGATCACATGTTCGAAGGTGGCCAGTTGGACAGTGTTCTGTTGTGGTCCGTAGGGTTTTCATTGGCTAATTTTCAGCAGTATATTGCCAGGCCTTTCTTCCTTGTCTATCTTAGTCTAGAAGCTCCACTGAAACCTGTCCTCCATGGGTGACTCTGCTGGTATTTGCAATACCCGTGGCATAGCTCCCAGCATCACAGCAACACATAGCCAACACAGTAGGACACACTGACAGACCCTCTGACAGACGCTGGTGGATATATATCCCTCAGACCCTCCTACACACATCTGCTCTAAAAGACCTCATGTTTGTGGTTCCCACGTGCAGGACAGAGTGCAGGTCAGTTCCCAGAGACCCTCTCCCAGCCCCCTCCTTTCCTTCCCCATGACGCCATGGCCCCTCTACCCCGTGTTGTCCACCGGCCTCCCACCTTTCCCGACCCCCCATCTACTCCATTACTAAGACAGGAGAAGTAGATCTGGCCATGTTTGAATCTCTCCTTCACCCTTGTAACCAGTCCCCACCCTCCCCTCCTGCTTCCCTCCCTCCTCCCAGCCCCAGCCTTCGGGAACAGTCGCCCCCACCCCCTACCTGGC